TGAGGACATGTGGTATTTCTCTTTCTGTGCCTGGCTTATTTCAGTTAACATAATTTTCTCTGAGTTCATCCATGTTGCTGCAAATGGCAGAATCTCATTCTTTTTTGTGGCAGAGTAGTATTCCATTGAGTACTTCTTCCTGTCTGTTGGGTTATGCTCATCATCGACATACAGGTATGCTCCCTGTGTATCTCCTCTGCTGCCTCTCCTTTGCTGTGTTCCTTGTTCAGCGCCAAACTTGAAGAGCTTTCTGTTTCTTTTGCTATTTTTTTTCACTTCGCTCCGCTCCTGCTATACCAGCTTCTGTCTTCATCACTCCATTCAGGCTGCTCTCATCAGTCCCTGATGTCTTCCACCAAATCTCTGGTCACTTTTCTGTCCTTGGTTAATCAATCAACTTCTGAGTTACGTTTGACCTCTCCTTCTGGAGACTTGCCTTGCTTGGCTTCTGAGACACTCTTGGTTTTCCTCCTGCTTCTCTGGCTGGTGTTTCTCTGCCTCTTTGCAGGCTCCTCTTCCTCCTCTACCATCTTCTGAAGCTGATCTTTCCCAGGACCTGGTCTAGGCTCTCTTTGTGCCTTTGCCGTAAGGGCCATCAGCATTCCCTCAGCTTTACATCCCATCTGCTTTCCGGGGACGCCCGCATTTTCTCTTGAGCACAATCTCTCCTCTGAGCTCTGGACTTATATATTCACCTGCCTATTTGGCATCTCCACATGGATGTATCCCACCTCAAACTCTGCATGCCCCTGCACACCCGATTCTTCACCTGTTCTTTTTTGTCTGTCCCATCAAAGTACATGGCTCCTCCATCACCCAGCTGTCCAAGCTGAGAACTTCCCATGTTCATTCAAATCACCAGTTACTGTCATTTCCACCTTCAAAATATATTTTGGATCTATCTTCCTCTTTCCACCTCCATCCAAATGCCACCACCTTGGTTTGAGACACATCATCTCACCTGCACCTACTTGCTTATTTTTTACTTTGGCCGATATGTGCATTTGTAATTTCAGTAGATATTGCCTGCTTCCTTTCTGATGTACTCTCTACATGGCAGCCAAGGTTGCCTTTTAAACACACAAATTCGATTATAACCCTCTTCTGTTTAAAATGCTTCAATGACCTTCTATTGCATTTTGGATAAAATAAAAGCTCCTTGCCATGGCTTGCAAATCCTCTGACATCTGAACTGACCTACCTTTCCTTCTCTTCAGCCACTCTGACCTCCGGTCAGTTCCTCACATGCTTTGTTATTTTCTCCAAGGTATCCCTGCCTCCACATCAGCCCCTTACCACACTGCCTGGTGCACTTCTGAGGGCAGGCACCATGTACCTCAGGTCTGCCTGGCACCTGGTGGAGGATGTGGCCTGTTGTGGGTGCTCACATGTTTGCAGAACAAGCAGGTCAGCCAGACCAGGGCCACTTGGAGCCAGATGCAAAGCCTCGAGTAGAAGACTGCTTTCCTGACTCCTGGTATAGGAGTCTTTTTTCCACATCAGACAGTTGGAAGTTCCTGGAAGTGTCCTATAAAATTGACTTCCTAGGTTCAGACATGTAAAAAGCAAAATGTCTGCCTCTTGTCTTTGTCCCACAGTTACCCACTTGCCCCCTCCAAGGGCCACCGATGTCATCAGTCGCTCAGGTGTCCTTCTACACATAATTTGTGCAAGTGCAAGCCAACATGTGTACAGTGTTGACTGATTCCCCGTCTTCTTGTAGCATGTAGTACCGCGTCCTGCATCTTGGTTTTTGCACTTAATTTGTCTTGATGATCACTGTATGTCAACAAAGAA